CCACTGAGCCACGCCCCCAGCCCCTCACTGGGGGATTCTAGGCAGGGACTCTACCACTGGGAGCCACTCTCCCAGCCCCTCACTGGGGGATTCCAGACAGGTGCTTTGCCACTCAGCTCTGTTCTCAGCCAGAATAATCTTGAACTTCTAATCCTCTTGCCTTCATCTCAGAGTTGTGTGCGTGCCACCACATCTGGTGTATACAGTGCTGAGGACTGAACCCTGGGTCTCCTGTGTACTAGGCAAGAGCTCTGTCACTGAGGTATATTTCCAGCCTTTTTGTTTTGGAGTATAGTCTCATAAGATGCCCAGGTTGCCCTTGCACTCACTGTATAGTCCAGGGAAGCCCTGGACTTGAGATCCTCCCACCATCAACTACTAAGTAGCTAGACTGACAGGCCTGTGCCCCCAGGCCCAGCTTGGAGCTTGAAGATTGTTATTTGGACCTGTGCTGTGTTCCTCAGCAGAAGCTCCTGAACTGTGGCCCCGAATCGCTGGGTTTCTGCAGTGCAGCCTGGAAGCCTGCTTTAGATTGGGTTTTTAGTTTGTATGTTTGTGGGTTGTGTTTTTTTCAGTGTGTCTCTCCTTTCCTTCCTGAAGGTCAGCACGAACGTTGACAAATGGCTCTGGATGCTCGGTGCCCAGCGGGTGCTGACCCGAGGGGAGGGTGACTGCAATGCAGTTCAGAGCAAACATGGCAGCATCGAGGCTGACTTCACAGCCTGGAAGACCAAGTTTATCTCCCGGCTGCAGGCCCTGCAGAGAGGGGAGAAGAAGGCCTGTGGTGGGAACTGCAAGAGAGGGAAGTGTGAGTCGGCCCAGCACGGCCCAGGAGAGGCGCAGCCTCACCCGCAAGGCGAATTGCATCCCGGGAATGCTGAGGTGTGTGCTTATGCTCCTTTCTTACTTTGTGTGTGTGTGTGTGTGAGAGAGAGAGAGCGAGAGCGAGAGCACGCAAGTGTGGCTGTCCTCTATGTGGCTGTGTGGAGATACCTGGCTTTACCTCTGTCCTGGTTAGATGATCTGAAACTCAGGTGCAGCTATTTCAGAGCGAGCACAGCTTGTGACTTACAGCAGGTGCTAGCCATGTGTTAAATGTGCAGCTCCTTCTCCTCCTCCCCCATTTCCCTCTTCCCTCCTTCCTGCTTTTCTTCTTCTTTCTTTTCTTCTTCCTCTGCTATCCTTCTCCTCTTCCTTCTCTTCATACTTCTCATCACCTTGTTCCCTTCCTTCTTTGCTTCCATCTTTTTATCTGTCCTTCTTTCCTTCTTTCTTCCTTCTTTCCTTCCTTCTTTCCTTTCTTCTTTCCTTCTGTCCTTTCCTTCCTTCCCTCCTCCTTCCTTTCTTCCTTCCTTCCTTCCTTCCTTCCTTCCTTCCTTCCTTCCTTCTTCCCTTCCTTCTTTCCTTTCTCCTTCCCCACATCCCCCTTTCCCTGTCCCCTTTCCCTTTCGTCTGACAGGGTCTGGTTCTGTAGCCCGGACTGGCCTGGAGCTCATTACTTAGTGGGAGCTAGCCTCAGTTTCCGAGCACTGGGCCTTGAAGCTCAGGGCCATGACGCTTGTTCTTGTCCCTTTCACTGCTGCATTGCTGAGTCATGCTGACTCACCATCTTTCTCTGGTCAAGAAATGGAAGCTAAGAGGAGTGACCTGTGTCTGCGTGTATCCTGACTGCAGTGACTGTTGCTTCCCTGTTGGAGCAGCAGGTCATCCTGGGTTCACCTGTCGACTCCCTCAGCCCCTAAGCATTACTCTCTGGTGATTCCTCAGGTATCCACGTCCTTAGAATTGCACAGTAGCTGCGGTCGTCACAGCTGGGCTCTTCCGGCTGGCCGCCTGGCTCTGAGTGTTGGCCCACTGTGTCTTTTTCTCCACTTTTGCTCCAGTCAGTAGAGGAGACTTAAATGTCTGTGGAAATGGTCAGTCCAGTTCCCTAGCTGGCTGCTCCCGGCCCTCACAGCTCCAGCGACCAGCAATGCATTCCCTCCATAAGGGTGCTGTAGGGTTTCCATTTTGCTTTTAGGTTACAGTCTGCTTCTGCCTGTGAGGCTGGCCTCAGTCTCTTGTCTCGGCCTCCCAGGTACAGCTGCACAAGTGTGCAGACACACAAAGCCTGAGTCCTTTGTTTTCTTCCCGAGGATTCAGTGGGATCGCAGGTCTTGGCCAGTATACCTCCAGCCCACCATTTTTGATTTGTTTTAGACAGGGTCTCATACAGCTGGCCTTGAACTTGACACATAACTCAGGATGACCATAAGTGCCAGATCTTCCTGCCTTACTTGCTGGGATCACATGGCTACCCATCTTGATTTTTTTTTTTTCTTTTCTTTCTTTTTTGGCAATGGGGTCTCACCAGATTGCCTAGGCTACCCTTAAACTCACTCCTTAGCCTAGGTTGGTTATGGAATTTTCCTGCTTTAACTTTTTAAATAATGGGGATCACAGACTTTCCTTTTTAAGACAGGGCCTTGCCCTGTGCTCCCAATTGCCTTGGAGCTGGGAGTGTGTAGTCCAGGCTGGCCTTGAGCTTTTGTCCTCTTTTCCTGACTGCTGAGATTACAGTGACATGCCACCACACCTGGAAAGAGCAATGTTCCTTTTAAGATAGGATCTCATTATGTGGCCCTGAGAGCTGGGACCAGAGGTGTTCGTGGTCTTTCTTGGCAGTTTCCCCTACTGTTTCAGAAACTCGAAACTCCACCCCTCTGTCTGACCCTGGCCCTGCTCACTCTCCCGTCTCCACCTGTATCCTGTTTTTCCCTCTCTTCATTACCAGCTACTGACACATGGGGTCCTTGGTGCTGAGCATGGGTGTCAAATGACAGGTGAGTTTGAGCACCAGGCATCTGCTCTCCTGTTACCTGTGAATGGCCAGTATCTTCTTCCCCAGTGTCCTATAGCGGGCTTTCCTCAGCTACTCCTGTCTAGTCTGGCTATTCCGTCGTCTTGTGTGTTCCAGGCAGACACGGGCTAAATGCTCACCTCTTAGAGCATATTTTAAAGTTTGTAGTTTCCCTTCAGTTTCATACATGTGTATATGACCTGCATATGTGTGTGTGCATGTTTTTGCATGCTTGTGGGCATATGTGTATGTTTGTGTGTATGTACCCATGTGCATGCCAGAGGTTGATGCTTGGAATCGTGTTTGATTGCTCTTGTACCTTATTCATTGAGGTGGGATATCTCAATCAAACCCAGTGCTCAGTGAGGGAGATGGCTGGTCTCCCTAGCCAGCTTGCTCTGCCTTTTAGCCAGGCTGGAATACAGGTGGGCAGCCACACTCATCCAGCATTTATAGGGATTCGAACTAGGGATCTGAACTCTGGTTCTCATGTTTGCCCAGCAAGCGCTTTAACACTGACCGGTGTCCCCAGCCCCTTTCAAGCACTTTAGACGCCTCTGCCATTTTCCTTCCAGGGATGTGATCTCCCCACACCTCTCCCCCTCCCCACACTGTTTCCCAATTTGCTGGCGATTTCTCAGGGGCTTATTGTTGCTTGTGTTCTGCCTCTCACCAACTTAGGTGACTTTTCCCATCCACTCTTGCAGCTCTGCATTCCCCTAATGTTTGCTCAGTTGTTCCAGGACAGGGCAGCCTACCATGGCTGCCTATCCTTAAACCACAGTGTGAGAACTCTGAAGTGTCTGTCCCCCTGGGTTGCTATAATTGGACCAGAGCCTTTCTGGGGAGGAAGGGAGTGCTTCACATTATTTTTCTAACTCCTGGGGTTTCCATGAGTTACATTTTACTTCTTTTGTTTTTTTAAAACGTTCATTTTTTTTTTTTTAAATGTGTATGTATGGATCTTTTGCCTGCAAGTGTATTTATCGTGCAGTACTTGCATGCAGTACCTGTGGAGGCCAGAAGAGGGAGTGGGAGCCACACAACTGGAGTTCCAGACCATTGTGAGCTACCAAGTAGATACTAGGAACTAGCTACCAAGTGGATGCCAGTGCTTTTGGCAGCTGAGCCGTCTCTGGAATTCTCTGCATTCATCTTTTATTGAAGACAGGTTTTAAATTTTCTGAAGGTCACAGAGCCAAGTTAATGGCAGTTCTGATTAGATTTTATGTGAAGATGAAATGAGTTCCTTCGAGAGGCAGTAAATTCATCTCTGTCAGAGATGAGGTTCTCAGCCTGAGTTACAGAGGAGCCCAAGATGGTCAGCCAAATGTCTTGCCAGCTAAATGCCACCTGCTGCCATTTTTAAAATTGCAATTAAATTGATTAATTTTGAGACAGGGTCTCATGTAGCTCAGGTGGCATTGATCGATAGCTACTTGATAGAGGAGGGCCTAGAACTTCTGATGCTTCGGCCTCCACCTTCAGTGTGCTGGGAATGTATCTGTGTTTATCCAGTGCTGGGATGGAACCCAGGGTGCCTTACATGCTGTGGAAGCACCTGTCAGTCTGTCTGCCTCTCCAGACTTACTGTCCTCGGAGGGTTTAGGGTCGTAGCTGTGCTCGTCTCTCCCTGTTGCACAGCTGCATCTGGGTTAAGCCTGACAGAGCTGCATGGCTGAGGCCGGGATTGTTTCTTTTTTCAGAACATTGACCTTTGGCCTCTGTACAGCACTGAATTGAAATCGCTTCCCTATACTTGCCTGCAGAAGTGAGTCACAGACAGGCACATGGCATTTAACCTCAAAATATGTCTGAGCATTGACGTGTTCAGGCTGCTCCAGTGCTGGGTGAGCCTCAGTACATGTGCTGAAGGAAACGGAGAGAGAGGCCTGTGATGTCACAGGCAACATGGGCTCGTGGGGCCACTGCCACACATATGGCCCATTGTTGGGTGATATTATTTGTTTCACATTACTATTTTGTCATCTAGAAGAAAACAAGTCTCTGCCCAAAATTTAAAAAAAAACAAACAAAAAAACGAACTTCTCGTGTGTGTGTGTTTGCACGTGTGTAGAGGTCAGGTGACCCCTTGTAGACAGTAGAAGTCAGTTCTCTCCGACCACCAAGTGGATCCAAGAGATAGAGCCCAGGCTGCCAGGCTTTGTGCCGGCACCACTACTCACTGCAGCAAGCATCTTGGTGGCCCCTTCTGCTTTTGGTGGCCTCAAACCTGCTAGGAAGTGCTGTCCCACTGAGCTACCCCGCAGCCTACTGTTCCCACCTTCTACCTGGCGTCTTCTTCCCCTGAGCTTTGTCCCGTCTGTTTTCACATGGTGGGTTTGCTGAGGGATTAGTTTTTGTCACTTGGAGGTTTTTTTGGTTTGTTTATTGGAGGCCAGAAGAGGGCACCAGATCCCCTAGAACCAACATTAGAGACAGTTGTGAGCTGCCATGTGGGTGCTGGGGATTGAACTCAGGTCCTCTGTAAAAGCAGTGTTCTTAACCACTGAGCCGTCTCTCCAGACACATTCTGTGATGCCTTTTCACAGGGATCACTTTAATGCCAGAGATCTAAGATGGCTTATATTTTTAAAAATTAATACTATAAAGGTGGGGCTAGTAAGATGCCTTAGTATGTAAAGGCACTTGCCACCAAGCTTGACCTGAGTTCTGTCTCTGGAACCCACATAGACGAAAGAAAGCATCGACTCCATAAGTACACTTTGGCATGCGTGCGTGTGTGTGCGTGTGTGTGTGCGCACACACACACATGCACATAACACAAAATAGTGATAAATAAAAAAGCAACAAAGACAACTCACACAAAAACACTGTAAAGGTGCTTTGAAGTGTGGCAGTGGTGGAGCACCCGCCAAGGATTGTGAAAGGCCAGGGAATCCCGTCCCCAGCAGCACAAAATCACCCGAACAAAACAATCAGGGCCCCTGCGGAGGCGGGGTGAGAGATGAACTTTGTGTGGGGCTCTGAAGTTCTTGCTTTGCAGGAGGAAGAGCCCTGTGAGAGCAGCAGCGAGGATGAGCTGGGGACCCAGGATTATCAGGGCCTGAATTCTGTGGTTGATGTCGAGGACCTGGGCAACATTGTGAACTCCATGAAGAGGGAGAAGGTACTGTTGTTTGGGGGATGGTGCAGTGGGATCCTGTGGTCCACCCAGCGCCTGGATTCTAGTGTAGCATGCGCCTGGCTGGAAGGGCAGGCGGTTTAGCTTCTCTGCTTCCACCTGGAAGGGTTCTGTTTCTGTTCCCGTTTGTCTTTTTTGTTTTGCTGTATTTACATGAACTTTGAACATTCAAAATCACATTTGTTTCACGTGTGTATGCACTTTGTGTGTTGTATGTGTATAGGGGCACACGGGTACAGCCAGAGGACACCTGTGAATGGGCTCTCTCCTTCCACCCTGTGGGTCCCCACAATTGGACTCAAGTTATCAGGCCTGTGGCAATCAAATTTATCTGCTGAGCCATCTCTCTGGCCCTTCCGTGGACTTTGCTAAATTCTTATTCAGTTCTGTGGAAGCAGGCTCCTGGGAGGACAGGTCTTAATGTGGAGGCTGAGGAGAGGACACTGGTTCAGAGAGGGCATTCGGGGCTGTGGAGGAGTCTTTATCAGAAAGATTTCAAATGGAAGCCCAGCAATGGTGATACACGCACCTTTAATCTCAGCACTGGGGAGGCAGAGGCAGGAGGATCTCTGTGAATTCGAGGCTAGCCTGGTCTACAGAGCTAGCTCCAGGACAGCTGGGGCTACGCAGAAAAAACCTTGTCTCAAACAAATAAACACAACAACAACAACAAAAACACAAAAACTTGAGTTCTTTTATGGTCTTTTTTCCAAATCAGTCAAACTATAATGCAGTGAAAGTAATTTTTGGCTTTTGACTGAAAATGTAATTTTCTTTATGGAAACAGTCTTTAAATGGAAAATGAAGTAGCAGATTTAGATAGAGTTCTGGAAGTTACACCTGGTTAAGCCTTCCTTAAATAGTGAGGTTAGAACACATTTCTTTGCTTTTTGTCTGGTGGCCAGGAGAGATCGCTAGAGAACACAGTAATGAAACCGTAACCATCCTTGCTATTTATTAGTTTTGGAAGTGAAATGATTGTTGGACCTGGAAGGTGCCAGCTTACAGTATTTTAAAATTTCCCGTAAAAGCCATCAGACGGAAGGGACTGTGTGTATTTTTCATCTTCAGAAAGACCTGGAAATAAGTCACCAGTGTTTTTTTCTTTCTTTATTTTATATATGTATATTATGTATGTGTGTATATATAGATGCACATATGTATTTAATTTATTGTGTTGCTGTGTGTTAACCCAGGAGCCATTGTGTATGCTGGGCTCTGTGGTGCCATTGATTTACAGCCTGAATCCCTTCCCTCTTTTTGTCTTTTCTTTTTTTTTTTTTTTTTTTTTTTTTTTTTTTT